AGCAATGGCATCAACCAGGGATACAAGGTAACAGTGTAGAGAGAGACAGATGTGAGAGAGTGTGTTTGATTGTGTATATGAGAGGAAGAGAGACACATGTTCTGTTAGAGGAAAAAAAATCAATTAAATTTGCCTGGCAGGTTTATTGTCTTCTGGGGTGTGTATGCATGATTGATTGGCTAAATGCCTGACAAAAACAGCAACTATAAATTTGAATTTGCGTAATTAAATCCTAGCAGTGTATTTTAATCACGTTTTGTGTATGTCTTATTGTTATTCCGTATCTCTCTCACAGCTGCTGGTGTGGCCCGAACACTGTCCGGAATGCATTACCATGGTGACCATTGCCCCTGAGTTCCACGGGTCACGTCACTATGGTTACGTTAGCAATTTAAGAAAGTTCACGTGGTATGAGACGGCAGTGCTATGCTTTACCACACCTGGCGATGGACCAGCTAGCACACCACAGCTCATCCAGACGCATGCTTACAGTGAGTACTCATACAAACACATGGATGCATTACAGGAATCACATCCACATTCAAGGAAAATTTGCTCACCCTCAGGCCATCCGCGATGTAGATGAGTTTGTTTCTTCATCGGAACAGATTTGGAGAAATTTAGTATTACATCACCAATGGATCCTCTGCAGCGAATGGGTGCCGTCAGAATGAGAGTCCAAACAGCTGATAAAAACACCACAATAATCCACAAGTAATCCACACCACTCCAGTCCATCAGCTAATTGTTTGTAATAAGTAAAAATCCATTATTAAGACATTTTTAACTATTTCTTCCAGATAAAATATGAGTCCTCTAATAATATAATATTGTTGTCTCTAGACGAAAAGTAGTCTCATCTGAACCAAGAGAGAAATATGCACAGATCAATCACCGTTTATAAGAGAAAACAGTCCAAAACAAGTTCTAAACAAATATGACGGTGGATTTTGATGTGAGAGGACAACAGAAGATCAACTTTTTTCACTGGAGGAAGCATTATTATGGATTATTTTGGCGAGAAGCGACGGTTTAAATTTAAAACTTCTTAACGATTGATTTGTTTCTTGCAAACACGCAGCTTTTCGCTTCACAAGATGTAAACTGATGGACTGAAGTTGTGTGGATTACTTGTGGATTATTGTGATGTTTTTATCAGCTGTTTGTACTCTCATTCGGACGGCACCCATTGACTGCAGAGGATCCATTGGTAAACAAGTGATGTAATGATACATTTCTCCAAATCTTTTCAGATGAAGAAACAATCTCATCTACATCTTGGGTGGCCGGAGTGTGAGTAAATTGTCAATAAATTTTCATTTTTGGGTGAACTATTCCTTTAAAGTTATAGCTCTCTCACTGTTTGTCAGAAATAGTATCATTTGACAATCATCTATTTTAGGAGAGAAAACAGTTGATACTTCAATAAAAAGCAACTGGGAGATCCATTAAGTCTCCTGAGCAATGAAAGAGCAACCTCTAAGCAATAAATGCGTCCTCTGGGATATAATGTTTTGCTTGCACTACTGACATGTAAAATCATATTTCACACTCTTGCAGATACCCACATACTCTTACAGACAGTCTGTCTGTATTTAATTGGAGACAATCGACTAACAGTATGCTCTTTACTTGAAAACTGTCCAGCAGGCTTTGAGAAAGAGATCTCTCAGCAAAAACAAGCTTGTTTGTTTGACATTCTAGCCACCAGAATCGATACGGAGGAGAAATTTGGCTCTTTCGCTATGCATGCCGCAATTTGCCACGTAATTGTGCTTTTTACATCGCCATTGATTAGTCTTTTCACTGAATATATATTGGCCAACCAAGTGCTGTTTTCACGTCACGCCACAGGCATGGAGAATCAGCCTTGACTAACCTGCAATTATTGAAGCAGGATCACTCCTGTTAGTCAATGCACATGTGCTCGCTATTGATTGTTCCACCGTGTGTGCGTGCGCTTGGATATGTGTGCGAATGCGCGTGCAGCTGTTATCAGACAATGTAATTTTCATCAGATGATAACAGCATGTGGTCTTCTCTGCAATGTTGAGCCACAGGAGCTTGTTTCCCATGAATAGCTCAATCACACAAACAGGTTAGACACGAAAAACCCTTGAAACAAAGTGAATAAACATAGTTAATCTCTGAAAAACCTGCCAAAAACTATCCGTTAGCATTAGTGCACAGCAAATAAACATCAAATGTACCATTTTTGATAGATCCTATAAGTCTATTTCACACCTCCAAAAGTAATAGGTCACTGGTAAGACATCTGCTACAATATAATGAAATTATTATGAGTAATATTATTATGAATTACCTAATTAATGCAAGGATTGGTAATGTTATAGGTACTTGTGTTTTGTAGGGAATATTATGTACTTTTGTATGTATTGTTTATGAATCCAACATATTGTAAACCCACCTTGAGCCCGAAACAAATTTCCTCTTGGGGATAATAAAGTGTATTCCATTTCATTTTAAATGCTGGAATACTTTTGCTGACCAAGGTTGCATTTCTTTGATCCAAAATGCAGCAAAAAAAAAATAAAAAAGTAATGTTGTGACATATATATATATATATATATACTCTCCCTCTCCCTCTTATGGTATTCATTAATTGATTAATATTGATATTAGCTTTATTATATTTTCAGTTTTCATTTGAATTTGAGTATTAGTTATATTGTTAATAATAAGCTTTTGTCACTTTTATTGCATTATATATATTTCTATTTCTAGCTTAATTTATTTCGTTTTTACATAAAACGTTTCGTTTACATAACAGAGTTATTTTTATTCATTTTTATTTTTAAGTTTTATTCTAAATTGTATATTTTATTATAACTTTATTTAAAATGACATTGTGTTTGTAATAGGTTTAGTTTAAGTTAGTAATAACAAAATAAAAGGCTATTTTTTTAATCTATTTATAGAGAAAAATGAATCCTTATGGTGTATTTACGGCATCTAGCAGCAGTGACCATGCTAACCAGCTAAACCTTGACCTCTTGTTCAGAACAAGTGAAAAAAATTTAATTGAAAATTAATTGAACTGCAGTGCAATGAGTTGCATGCAGTCATACGTTCTCATAAGCACGTGATTGATTAATCTGTCAGTCTAGCGTGACGACTCGCACTGATAAGCTCTGCTTGACAGTCCGGGGCATGAGGGTTTGCCACGCGCGTGTTAGATCTAATGAGATTAAAGCTTTATCCGCACACATTAACCACTGTGCTTTTCAGGCAACTGTCATGTTCGCCTGTCAGATGTATTGACTCGCGGGGTGTGTATGGATGATTGATTAACTACTAAATGACTGCTAACTCGTGAGCGTAATTGCCAAGTAATGCCAACAAACACATAATTTGCTTTCGCCTATTTGCATTTGTGATACAACGGTTCCACGGCAACAAGCTCTTTGTTGGGAGTATTATGATCTTGCGGACTGAGGGTGCGAGGTAATCCTTTACCATGAGCGGGTTTGAAAGCTTCCATAAAGTGCTGCCTAGCTTTGTTCCACTCACGCATACACACACACATGCTTGTGCTAAGAGCATCGACAAACCTGCTGTGTATTCACGGGTTTATATCCCCTCAGATCATAAAATCATTAAGCTGTTGTTTAAAAAATACAATCTCTGTATGTCTGTCTCTGTAGTTGACTTTCTACTTATAATAAAAATGCACGCTTTGTATTCTTAGGTACTCAGAAATGTACTAGCATCCATAAAACATATTTGAGATCTTAAGGGCCTAAAGCATAAAGACTATATTATATTATATTATATTATATTATATTATATTATATTATATTATATTATATTATTATTTTTCCAGAGAAATCTGTAGTAACATTGCTGAGTGCAGTAAATTCATGTAAATGTGTTGTAGAACCGGGCCCGGTGACTCAACTGAGCTTTACTGAGATCTTGGACACATCTCTGAGGATCAGCTGGCAGGAACCGGAAGAAAAGAACGGCATTATCACAGGTGAACAGGCTCAATTATCCAATCACAGCTTCAGCTCAAACACTACAGGAACTCTCACTAATCTTTCCAGTGCTGCATGTGAAGGTGTCCCAGTGATTGACTTTTGTTAAAACTAGCAGATTTAGCTGTCATCTTTTTGTTTTATAAAGATCACATTAAAACTTGGAGAATGTTTAGCTTGTCTTAATTAATTTTAGTTTCTAGATGCCTTTTATGTAATGAATTAATTATTGTACCCTTGTCCTAGACCCAGATTTTCACTTTTAAAATATGAAAAAAAAACATCATTTATAAAAAGTTGAAACCGTTAAAAACAAGTAAATTTAAATGTTTAAAGCATATATTCTGTGAAAATGGTTGAGATATGAAAAATCAAGGTAAATATCACTTGTGAATGTAATGTTTTTATTGTGTCATTTAAAATCAAGCTGTTATTTTGTCAAATTAAGTGTGAAAATAGTTTAAAACATAAATTGTGTAAAATCTCATTTCCACGGAATGTTATTAAACATGGTATGACAAAAATGACAGAATTAATTTCTAAACACATTATTATTGCACAAATAAAAAAGCAAGAATGTAAAAGGTTTCTCCTGATTACATGATTATGAAAATAGCTGAATTGATGTCATGGGTCACACTTTATTTCTTTATTTTAAGGTCAAATTCTCGCTATTAACAAACCATTAACTACAACTTTTGCCTCAATAAACTCCTAATTTGCTGCTTATTAATAGTTAGTAAGGTGGTTGTTAAGTTTAGGAATTGGCTAGGATTCAGGATGTAGAATATGGTCATGCCGAATATGTGCTTTATAAGTACTAATAAACAGCCAATATGTTAATAATAGTCATGCTAATAAGCAACTAGTTAATAGTGGGAATTGGTCCCTATACTAAACTGTTACCCTGTCATGTTACTAGGAAGTGTAGTTAAGTTAGTAGCCTTACTGCTTTAGAGTTGGTTGCTCCCTAACACCGCTCTGTAGTGATTAACTGTGAGTTACGGTAGTTGATTCTCTCTGCATCTTTCGCGTAATTTCATTCTTCGAATGCATGCGAGGAACCATAAAGAGAGTTTCAATTCAGCCACTTATAAAGGACGGTTACTGCCTATGTAGACAAAAAGCAGCGAGGTAGTTCAACTTGTGGAACAAAGCTTAATTTTCTCTTTCTTCTCATCTCATTTCCACCTCTCCATAGGTTACGTCTTGTGTTGGGAGGAGGCCAGTCAGAACGAAACCCGTGTATCTCAGACTCTGTCCAATTCTACGCTGACATACAAAGTGACCGGGCTCACTTCGCTCACCACATACACTCTGCAGGTGGCTGCGGGGACACAGGCCGGCACCGGTGCTGCCACCTCGTCGACCATCTCGACAGGACTGCCGCCAGGTCTCCACACTCTCAAACAAATACACACTTCAATGCTAGCATCACTTTAATGCATCAAATTCTCCCTTGGGGATCGGTGATAGTCACCCTGTTCAAACTCGAAAGGAAATTCAACACATGAAACAGGATGCCGCAGTGGGGCGCATATTTCACATAGACCAGCAATCCGAGACACAGTCAGTAAGACTGTAATACATCACACGGAGTCAGTATGAAGCTCTTGGGGCCGCTGTGTGTGTGCGCGTGTGTTAGAGAGAACATGAAATAAATGATGATGACCAAAAGCCAAGCTACACTCATTATCTCCCACTGATATGCTGTGGAGTCAGGAGAGAACGAGCTTTTATCTACTGTTGAATGAGCCACCGTGAACCACCCAAATATCATTATCAATCCATTTAATTACCAATTAATCATATACCCAAACACAATGTGCACTGCTGTACACAAAACCTAATTGACTCAGAAGTGAGTTATGGGCCTATTTACAGGAGTTTTCTTTGAAGGATAATGAAGACACAGGATGGAGAAAACAGGCAGAGAGCAGAACACAAAATGCAGGAAATGTTTCAATTAGAGCAGCTTGTGAGTTACATAAATATGTTTTGTTGTGTTGCTAAACAGAGCTTCCTGGTGCACCCTCCAATCTGGTCATCTCCAACATCAGTCCTCGCTCCGCCACCATAAAGTTCCACCCCGGCAGTGACGGCAAAACCACCATCTCCAAATGGATTGTAGAAGGACAGGTGTGTAGGCGTGTGTGTGAGTGTGTGTGTACAATTTAGTAAAGCTTGTATTGCCAAATCGTTTTTGGCAAGTGCCAGACTTTACCACAATGGCTAAAGGGTTAACAAAGTAGTCATTTTGCCATCAGTAGCAATTTGCTCTGGACAAAATGGTTAATTTTGCCACAGATATTAATATTCTGTCTGCCTAATGGTTAATTTGATCTGAACAAAATGGTTAATTTTGCCACAGATATTAATATTCTGTCTGCCTAATGGTTAATTTGATCTGAACAAAATGGTTAATTTTGCCACAGATATTAATATTCTGTCTGCCTAATGGTTAATTTGATCTGAACAAAATGGTTAATTTTGCCACAGATATTAATATTCTGTCTGCCTAATGGTTAGCTTGCTCTGGACAAAATGGTTAACTTTGCCACAGATATTAATATTCTGTCTGGCTAATGGTTAATTTGCTCTGGACAAAATGGTTAACTTTGCCACAGATATAAAGATTCTGTCTGCCTAATAGTTAATTTGCTCTGGACAAAGTGGTTAACTGCTGCAGGTATGAATATTCTGTCTGCCTAATGGTTAACTTTGCCACAAATTGCACTTTTCTTTTATAAAAAAGGTTAATTTAGTTAACTTTGTCACTTGTAGCAATTTTCTCTCTCCAAAATGGTTAACTTGGCCACAAATTATACTTTTTTTCTTTGCAAAATGGCTCTATGCAAAAAACTTTGCCATGAATGTTACTATTCTGGCTGCCAAATTGTTAGCTTTTCCACAAATTGGGCTTTTCTCTCAGAAACATGGTTACCTTTTTCACAAATGGTATAGTTTTTCCCTTTCCAAAATGGTTAACACGGTCACTTACATCTATTTTCTCTGTCCTGTTAACAGTTAACTTTGCCACAAATTATGCTTTTTTTTTCTCTGCCAAATGGTTAACTGCCACAAATGTCAATATTCTGTCTGCCCCTCTCAGAAAATAAAACTTTTTCATGAATGGTTGTTTACTCTTTGAACAATGCTTAACTTTGTCACTTACGGCATTTTTTCCCCAAATGGTTAACTTTGACACGAATGACCCTTGTCTGTCAGGAAAATTGTTGTATTTTTTATGAATGTATGCCATGGTTAATGCCACATATAGCAGTTTTTTCACTCCAAAATGGTTAAAGATGCAGTAGGAGATCTTGGAAAATGCTAACTTTAGCCTGATAGCACTGAAAGCGAACATCCCACCCTCCCTAAGGTGCAGTAGGAGATCTTGGAAAATGCTAACTTTAGCCTGATAGCACTGAAAGCGAACGTCCCACCCTCCCTGCAATCGCTGTCCAAAGCCACGCCCCCTGAACGCATATACGCTCACAGACCAGAAGGCTACATCAGCCGGTTCCCAATTCCAGCCCATGTTCCAAAGTGAAGTAAACTTAAATGGATTTCCCCTGCTCAGTGCTCAGGGAGGAGGGAGCAATGAACACTGTGTAGGGATCATATCGATCTGAACACAGTTCATGCACGTAGCTCACTTCTAACGAGCTGGTTATCTGAATAGGGTGTGTTAACTAAGCGAGACATGCAAAATATGCAGAGCGCGGGGGCACGAGGACTGGAATTGGGAACCCCTGGTCTACATCATGCGTCATTCACCAGTGAGAAAATTTTAAAAGTACTACAATACCAAGAAGGAAGATCTGGTTGTTGATGTTTGTCTGCCATTCTCGCTCTGTCTGCACAGCGTGCGTAAACGCACTGATGATGACGTACCCTGTCTGCGCGAACAGGGTGCGCAGAGGTATGCTAATACATACATTGACCGCTTAACTTAATGATTGCTATCGGGATGTGAAGAAACTTTCAACCAGCATAACAAAAAATGTTTCTGAAGACAATCACCTATTGCACCTTTAACTTTTCTGCAGATTACTTTTTTTCCCCTCAAAATTGGTGAACTTTACCACAAATTAGACTTTTCTCTCTGTATTTTTTTTAATGAATGGTAGTTTTCTCTCTGCAAATATATATAAAATTAAATATATAGTTTCACTTTGCCACAAATGTCAATAATCTGCCAGTCGAATGGTTAAATTTGCCACAAATGGCAATTTTCTCTCTGCAAAATTATTAATATTGCCTTGAAGGGCACCTTTCTCTTTGAAAAAATTCTTACCTTTTCCACAAATTGCTGTTTTCTCTCTGCAAAATATGTAACTTTGTGACGAATGGCAATTTTCCTTCTGCCCAATGGCTAACTTTTCCACAAACTGCAATTTTCTCTCTGCCAAGACTGCTCTATGGAATATGACTTTTCAGTGTATGTGCTCATAAGTATAAATGTGTGTGTGTGTGTGTGTAAGTGTTTGTGTATTTGTGGGTGTGTGTTATGCCCTTGTCTGGCAGGCTGTGCTCCAGTGAAGATGCTGTTGTCTGGCAGGTACTTCATCTCCAGGGAAAAACAGGCTTGCTCTTGCACTAAAACATCTTCCCCTGGAGAAAACGCACACACACAAACACACATGCAAGCTCACACTCTGTATTTGACATAGTACGAGGAGGCTAAGGAGATGTCATGCACCGTGTCTCCCAACCCTTTAGGTGTGGTGTGTGTTTGTGTGTGCGTGCATATGTGTTAAGCCCCTCTTGGATGGCGTCCAGCTCTGTGCAGAGTGAAGAGAAAAACTCCTCCTAATGAGATCCCTCTCTTTTCCCCTTGGTTTTCTTCGCTCCTGTCTTTAATACTGTTTAATCGAGGGAGAGCAGGAAGGAGGGAATCAGAGGGAGGGATGAGAGAAGAGAGAGAAGAAGATTAGAGGTACTGAGGTGGCACTAATGGGGTCTTAAGTCTATGGGTTAGAAATCAGCTTGTGTTGGGGTGTTTTTTTACAGCCGACTTCTTCACAGCTGTATCCTGGACCAGGTCGGTTGCCGATTCCGATTTCCTTTGTAATCTTTTCACCTTTCCTCTGCTCGAACAGTGCTGCACAAAACATGCTGTGTGGATGCAGTGTTTACATGGAAACCAAGTACTAGTTGTTTCAACATATGACTTGTAATATTGAAAGGAACATATCATGGAAAACCGCATTTTTCTTCCTCTCTCCCCAGTCCAACCAGATTATTCATGGATATTAAGCTGCAAAAACAATGTCACCAACAGGATCTCAATAACATATGACCTCCAACATTTTTATACAAACACCTGTTCAGTCTTAAAATGCTAATAAATAAAAATAAAATAATAATAAAAAATAAAATAAAAAAGATAATTTCAACTTCTTATCTTACTGTTTTGACTTTTTTTCAGAATTTATATCTTACCGTATGGACTTTGTTTCTTGAAATTCTGGGGGAAAATAAGAATTGTGAGATATAACTCAAAATTCAGACTTTTTTTTCTCTGAATTATGACTTTACATTTAGCAATTCTGTTTTTTTTTCTGCTACAGATTAACATTTTTTTAAAAGGTAATTACAACATCTTATCTCACAATTTTGCCTCTTGCAAATGTGAATTTGTAATTTCTAGCTCATAATTGTGACTTTTTTTCTCATAATTGTGAAAAAAGTCTAGATTGTGAGATATAAACTCAGAATTGCAAGAAATAAAGTAAAAAGATGAGATAAGAAGTCACAGTTACCTATTTTATTTTTTATTTTATTATAGTGTGGGTGTTTAATTAACACATTATAGTGTTTAAATTCCCTAGCCCATTCTGATGAATGATAGCGTGAACCATGAGGTTAGCCAATCACACCAAAGGTCATTAACATATGGAAATTTGAAAAGTGCAGTAGCCAAAAACAGTCAGAGGGTCAGAGAGAGGCTGGAAAATGTAAAATGATGACTGTTTTCTGTGTAAGAAACCTTGACTAACATTATAAGTGAACTTCAGTGGGAAATTGCAATGCTTTAGAAGTGTAGAATATGGCCCCTTTTAAGTATTTTGACAGTTTATACATGGTAATGATAGGAAAGGGCTAACCGCATGAAATTAATCACAGGTTGCTCTATGAATAAATGGAAGCAGCTCTCAGTGAGGTCCTAGAGGAAACGTGAGTCACTTGATTGTGACGTTTGAAATGATAAGCAGTTTTTGTTTGCAGATAATGACTGGCTGCATTACCCAGTGTCTCTTTGTAGATTTTTTTTTTTTCATGTTGTGGATCCACTTTTTTTAATTAGATCATTACCTCATTATGGCCTTATTATGTAAAAAAAAAAAAAAAAGCGGGCCCTTTCCGGCTCTCACATGTCATTGTTGAGAATCTATAGCATCTTGCTTTTATTAGTGAAAAACAAAAAGCACAAAGCAGAGAAAACAAAGGCAGCAGCCCTGATATGGAGTGTGCACTGCGGGCAGATTGCTTGGGTTTGCTGTTGTGCTTTTCACTGTCAGTCTGAAGCTTTTCTATCATCAGCTCTGACTGCTGAATCTGACTCTTTGTATATTTGGAATGACACTCTGCCATAATAGGAATGAGGGATGCAGGATGTGTACTATACACAGTGTGGGGGACCTACATTTGCCCATATGTACAGTATACATCAAGTGAAATCTATGATATTAACCGTAAGCTGTCTCAACTGTAATCTTAACATCTCATTCGTGACTGTTGATTGTCATGTTTATGTCAGTTGACTACCCAACGTTTGGGCATTTTTACTCAAAATTGGATTATAAATGTAAAAATATCTTTATGCTTTGACATATCTTGATGCCCGGTTTCATCTCTCCATTGGTTATATGTTCAAATTAGCATACTACCGTGCTGCTTTTACTGTTGCTGCATTAAACAGTATGCACATTTTTTGTATGCATAGAATACAGGGATGTAAACCCTTGTGGGGTGAAAAAGGTGACAAAGATGCAACTTCGCCCCAGGAAGAATATTTTGTAAAATGTCTGCTTTAAAATGTGGATTTATAGTCTT